TCACCGACGTTAAGGTTGTGGTGTTGTGGAGGGTGGTTGCAGTGTGGAGGGTGTGAAGAAGACTGTAATACTCCGTATTTTTTGTGTATTTTATAAATTATTTAATTAATTATAAAATATTTTTTAAGGGCTCAAGTATTTTAATTAAATATTTAAAGGGCTAAAGTATTTAAATTATTGAGTTTTATAAAAGTATAATTTATTTTGGCCTAAACATTTATTAATTGTTTGGGCTCATTTATACAATAGTATGTAAACAATCCTTACTCCTAGTAGACTCATCCATCTCATTTAATAAAGCCCAATTCTTTTATTTGAACCCTTGTGAGTCAAATATTTCATGATTAAAGTCCATTTATTTATTAAGCCCAAAACCTAATCTCTACTCTTTACTCTATAAATATCCCCCAAACCCCAAAATTTTCCCACACAAAGAGACTCAAAAATCAGATTTTTGGGGATAAGTATTATTTTCTTTGTTTTTCCTTATTTTCTTTTCTTTCTTTTTCTTTTCTTTTCTTTTCTTCTTTTTCTTATTCTTTCTTTTCTTTGCTGCTCCTTGCTTCATGCGTGAATTCTGACGCATGGGAGTGACGGCTCCCCTTGCCACATCACCACCTCGCTGCCACGTCACCACCTCCAAGTGTTGATTTTTAGGGTTCTAACTTACAATTGATTTGGGGGTTTTATATACCTATTGATTGTAAGTGATAATAAGGCTTATAGACTATATTTTTATGGAGTTTTAATGAGTTTTTGTTATTATTATATTGCTGAAATTTTATTTTAAGTACAACTTTTGTGTTTTAATTAAAAGGGGTTAATTACCCATAAGTACAGAAGGTTTTAATTGGTTTTAATATAATTTTCAGATTTATTTGTGGGGTTTTAACCTTAAAAAGTGTGCTCGAATTTTTATATAAATACCGTGAATGAGTTTTTACCTCGTGGTTTTAATTACCCACTTAAAGAAAGAGTTTTAAAGGTTTTAAACCAAAATTTCAGCTTATTAGAGTGGGTTTAAAGTGTTTAAAAGTTGCTGGAAATTTGTGTAATCAAGGGAGTAATTGAGTTTATGTAATTGGTATTGTAGGAGACTGGTAGGCGTGTAATATATCATTGGAAAGGTCTTCAAGTCTACTTTCCAATGCAATTTGAATCACTCCATTATCATTTGTATATCAAAAGTTATGAGCGTAATAGTGAACAGGTGTCATATTTGTCAAGTATTTCATCAACGTTTTGCTTCATTTTCACTCAATTAGCTCCGTTAATCCTGAAATACATAAACAATAACGAAACTACCCATAAAAGCATCGAATCATCGAAACTAAACCAAATTACACCAAAATGGACTAAAACACTCGACTAAGCTAATAAAACCAACCAAAAATAAGCTAATAAATACGCACAAAACACGACTTATCAAACTCCCCCAAGCTAGACTAATTCTTGTCCTCAAGCATTTAACCATGAATCACAAGGGAGGAGAATGACAACTCCTCAAACAATCACAATGTGCCATCAAGTTCAAAACCACGATAAAAACGAAATCAAGAGTCAACTTGCACAAAAACCACCATTCATCTCATATACTTGGACTTGACAACTAATCTTACCACACATCTCCCCATACCTACTCTCACAAACATGAATAGTTCTCACTTTAGTTGTGAAAAATAAAAACAATAACGCTCATGTGTTTTCGGGGTGAAAAATGAAGCCACTCAACCTAAGCATAGCATGCATATCAACTTCACACAACCGGCCTCTTTAGGCTTGCAAAGTGACTTTCTCCACTTTTAGTGATTGATGCAAACACGAAAATCATGAAATCCATATTAGGTAAGCTCGGTAAATAAGGGTTAGACGACGTATTTTGGGAATGTGGTGCTCAAAATAAAACAGATCCTAATCCCACTACACATTCAAATGTCGGGTTCAATCCAACCTTATTTCCTCCAACTCTATACAATTATAAACATGGCCCTTTATTCTTTCCTTCTTTTTTTTTCTTTTTTTTTCACACAAAGAGGAAGGGATTAAATAAAAATAAAATGGAAGACTTCTCTATTTTTTCAAGGGCCTTTAAGACCATATTTTTTCTTCTTCTTTTTTTTCATTTTTTTTTCTTTCTTCCCCTTTTTTTTCTTTCTCATAATCTCCCTTCTTTTCTCTTTGTTTTTCTTTCTTTTCTCCTTTTTTTTCCTCTTTTTTTCATTTTTTTTTCCGTTTTTTCAACATCATTCACACTCATTGGGCTTAACAAATGTAAAACACCTTCAAAATAAACCTAGAAAAATAGCTCTAAAGCTTTAAATGTAGGGTATCAAGAAGGGGTTAATATGGCTCAAATTGGTTCAACCTACGGGTGAATGTAAAATAAAAACAGAAAGAAAAACATGAAGGCCTAAAATGTGGAGGCTCTAATATCTACAAGGAAATTTCAATCACCTTTTCGCGATATGCATCATAAAGTCTCAAATAGTCACAAAGCAAGACCAAGAATTCGATTATATGAAGGACAATCTAATCACACAAGAAGAAACATGACTGCGGTAGAGTGAAATCAGTCATATAAGGCTCAAGACTCTCACCGGGTACATAAACTATTCACATAAGTAGAGCGGGGAGACCAACTTGGCCACAACCTAGCTCAAATCCAAGCACATCAATGAATGGGTTTTCAAAAACTCTTTTTTTTTTTTCAAAAAGCACACATATGTGATTATAATCATAGAAGCATAGTTATGCAATGGCATATTATTCGACACTAGAAAGAAATAAACTACCCAAAAATTGAAATAAATCTAATATATACATGGTGAAAAGCAAATCCTCCCCCAAGCTAAACCATACATTGTCCTCAATGTATGCATAAATCAAAGCAAATAAACAAGGGGAAGGGAAAAGCAAACTACTGGTCAGGAGGGGTGGGGGGGGGGGGGGGAAACCATACCTCGGGACGGTGCTAGGACCGCCCTGAAAGTGTTGTCGCATCATGCCCCCGATGTCATAGAACTCGGCTTGGAAGGTGGCTTGGGACGTCCGTGCCTTATTATTGGGGGAGGCACGAAATTGCACTCCTTGACTCTCTGCCCCATCTGCAGATTTTATTTTTTTTTATTTTTTTGAAAAAAAAAAATAAATAAATAAATTCGGAAAACCTGAGGCACGGACGTGCCTAATGGGAAGGCACAGACGTGCCTCTCTAAAAATTCAACCCCCAAACTTTCTGCCTCAGAGGCACGGATGTGCCTCTGCAGAAATTGGTTTTTCTCCTTTTTCCTTCCTTTTGGCGCTTTTCCTCCTTGTTTCTTCTTATTGTTGCTTACTTTTCACCTATATAAAAAAAGGACCACAAACAAATCAGAAACTAGACACAAGATTCAAGTCAAAAAAATCAAGAAAAATAATTAAATTAATGAAGAAAAATTAACGAAATAAGAGTAAAAACTCGAGAATGGGTTGCCTCCCATTTAGCGCTTGTTTAAAAGGTCTTTAGCTCGACCTCCCTTGTTGGCTCAACCGGGATCATTACACGGAGAAGGAGGACCGCGATGTTGTTCATGAATTCCTCCAAGCGACTCCTTCATCGGCTTATTCACTTGCCTTATAACTGAATTCACCTTCATATAGCCAAATATGCCATCGGGTGGAACTTTATCCTTTCCTTTCACGAATTTCCTGTCAGACACATACCTATCAAACGGGGGGTTAGTAGCATCGATTCTCAAACAGGTACCACCATCGAACGTAGAGTTATGCTCATCAAGCACGGCTTTTGACAACGTTGCGAGAAGGGCATCGGTTCATCATTGGCCGGTGGAGCTACATATTTGGAGCCTTGAACATCCTTGCTCCTTACGTCCTTTCTAGGCTCCTTGATGCACACCTTCTCAACAATTTGCTTCGGAAATAGTTCATCTCTTCTGAGGAAGATGGCATTGCATTGTTCTTTCTGAACCTTCGCTTGATCTTGAAGAGTCGATAGGCGGTTCACCTGTTGCGAAAGTTGGCTTATCTGATAAATAGTGTCTCCCGTAGAGGGAGCACCCATGACATTCAAAAGTGAGTATTCTAACTTTTCATCACCTACTTCAAAAGTGATCTTACCTTTCTTCATGTCTATGATTGCACCTACAGTAGCTAGGAAAGGTCTACCAAGTATGATTGGAACATTCACATCTTCTTCCATCTCCATCACAACAAAATCACATGGAATGAAAAATTTACCTACTCTGAGGGGTACATCCTCAAGTACACCCAAAGGAAACTTCACTGACCTATCTGCAAGTTTTAGAGATATTCGTGTAGGTTTAAGCTCACCCATCTGTAGCTTCTTGCATATGGACAACGTCATAAGGCTCACACTTGCACCTAGATCGCATAGTGCCCTATTGATCTCAATATCTCCAAGCTTCACTGGTATTGAATAGCTACCTGGATCTCCTAATTTCTTAGGGAGAGTGTTCTGCAAAATAGCACTGCACTCTGCATTCAAAGCAACTGTAGTATTCTCTTCTAATTTCCTCTTGTTAGATAGCATATCTTTTAAAAATTTTGCATAAGAAGGCATCTCAGATATGGCATCTAGGAATGGAATATTAATATGAAGCTTTTTAAGAATATCGAGGAACTTACTGATCTTTTTCTCAAGTTTAGCTTGTGCTAACCTTTGAGGAAAAGGAATCTTGGGCATATATGGAGCAAGTGGCTTTGGTGGTGGTTCCTTTGATGCCTCCTCAACCCTAGCATCTTCTACTTCCTTCTCACTTGCCTCTGCTTCTTCATTGACCTCCCTTGATGGCTCCATGGTAGGAGGATCGTCCAACTGCCTTCCACTCCTCATGGCTACAAAATTCATTTGGGCTCTTTGAGGTTGTTCTGTCTGGCCCGGGAAGGTTCCTGGAGTCTTTAAAGCTTGGTTAAATTGGTTGGCCAGTTGGCTTATCTGATTCTCCATAAGTTTACTCTAGGCCTGCAACTGTTGGATAGAGCTATTTTTGATGTTGGATGGCACTGTTTGTTGCGGTTATGAAGCTCTCTAAGGTCACCTTTAGGCTTGATTTCTGAGGTTGTGGTTGCATAGGTTGTTGGGCATTGGGTGGTTTCTGTTGGAAGCCTGGTGGTGGTTGGTTGTAGGTATTGGGTTGAGGTGGTGGTGGAGGGTTTTGTTGCGCTTGGGAGTTTTTGTAGGAAAAGTTGGGGTGGTGTTTCCATCCTTCATTGTAGGTGTTGGAATAAGGGCCATAAGGCCTCTTTGGGTTAGAGGAGTAGAAAGCATTGGCTTGCTCGATTGGCATTTCTTCCGCATTCTGCGAAATCTGTGGGCAATCTGGAGCAACATGACCCTGCACATGATATAACTGACACAACTCCTGTGGGGTGTTAGAAGTTCCTGCTTGGAACTTATCAAACCTGCTTGTTAGTGCCTGCACAGAACTAGTTAGCATAGTTAAAGCATCAACATCAAGTTTACCTCCCTTTTTCACAGTGTTTCGGCCTCCAGGATGATAGTTATCATTAGCCGCCATCTTCTCTATGAGCTCCCTAGCTTCAGTGGGGTTCTTTGTCAAGAGAGAACCTCCTGACGCAACATCAATGTAAATACGGAACTCATGAGTCATGCCATTGTAAAAGGTCTGCATCAAAATCCAATCTGGAATGCCATGGTGAGGGCATTGTCTCTGCAATCTTTTAAATCTCCTCCAAGCCTCATAGAGAGACTCATCATTTGACTGCCTAAAAGTTTGTAGCTCATTCCTCAATCTTGCAGTCTTCTCATTCCCTAAAAACTTCACTAGGAAGGCTTTCACTAACTTGTCCCATGTATCGAACGAGCCAGTGCCTTCATCTCTTAACCACTCCTTTGCCCTGTCTCGAAGTGAGAAGGGGAAAAGGCGTAGTCTGATTACATCATCTGTAACACCGTTCAACTTCATAGTATCACATTTTTCCAAAAAGCTATCTATATGACTTACGGGGCAATCATGTGGTAGCCCTACGAATGAATCATTGGAGATGAATTGTATGAACTGTGGCTTGAGCTCGAAGTGTTGAGCCGTGACTGGTGGTCTTATGATGCTTGAAAGGACTCCGGTAGTTGTATCAGGAATACCGTACTCCAAGAGGGATTTCGTTGGTTGGTCTACCATGTTTCTCCTACGTCTGTTCCTTGTTCTCCTTCTTCTTATAGTTGCCTCGATCTCAGAATCAAATGATTCAAGATCTTTTGAACCTGAGCTACGTGTGGGCATGCACAAGAAAAACTAGAGAAAGGTATCAAAAACACAAGGGAAAATAGCCGAAGCAACGAAATAAGCCTAGCAAAAATGAATCACAAATAATCAAATGAAACCGTTAGTTCCCGACAACGGCGCCAAAATTTGGTAGGCGTGTAATATATCGTTGGAAAGGTCTTCAAGTCTACTTTCCAATGCAATTTGAATCACTCCATTATCATTTGTATATTAAAAGTTATGAGCATAATAGTGAACAGGTGTCATATTTGTCAAGTATTTCATCAACGTTTTGCTTCATTTTCACTCAATTAGCTCCATTAATCCTGAAATACATCAAAAACAACGAAACTACCCATAAAAGCATCGAATCAGCGAAACTAAACTAAATTACACCAAAATGGACTAAAACAATCGACTAAGCTAATAAAACCAACCAAAAATAAGCTAATAAATACGCACAAAACACGACTTATCAGAGACTTTAAGTTGAGTAATTTCTAGCATTGTGGCTAGTTGGAAAGATGATTCAACATACGTTCGCATACTTGGTAATGGTTTAAATGTATAAAAGTATGCTAGGCTTTGTTTAATTAATTCCAAGTAGTATCATTATATGTGTTGGTTGGAATTGTTGATTTGGATTGATGTTGGTGATTGAATTGTGATGTATGAATTATTTATGGTGAATTGATGATTGGAATCAATTATGTTGGCATGTTGGATATAAACCACACTTATATTATTGGCATGATAGAGAGCATGTTTAATTAAACTAGTGTTTAATTTGGTATGGAATATTGAAAAGGAATTTTACTATGGTTCATATAATTTTTTATTGATGCTTTAAGCATGGGAATTGAGCTAGTAAGTGTCTTAGTACACAAGAATAAATTTTATTGCGGTACTTATATGCACTTAAGGTGTTTTTAACACCAAGGGATAGGATTTGTGATGCATTATGCGGTTAAGGTGTCTTTGACACTAAGATAGATTAAAAAAAGGTTCAACTATTAAATTTATGTGGTCACTAATTATTCAAGAATTAAATTGGTATGTTTGAATGCTTGAATGATTTATAATGTTTGATTGTGCTATGGTTTGAGAGTCATCACCAAGTATAATAATATGTAAAATAACGTAAAGTGAAAGAGATTACACACCAAAACTCTTGGAACGTATATACCTTGAGTATGAACATATGGGGGGAGTTATGCGACTTTATATTTGACCATAACTTCTACTGGGAGTACAGCTGTATTTTCCTTTTTATTATCATTATGCGCAGGACGTCCAGTCACTACATGTGACATTTGCCTACCCGGTTAGCTCCCGGTGTAGTTTACCTCGATTTATTTGAGGCAGGGATTTGGTTGGAAACTCGTTCGATGTGTAATCAAAATTAAATGAACATTGGTATTTGTCTAGTTAGGTGTTGAATGTTTTGTATGCTTGTAAACAGGTGCAGCACGGTAAGTTCTGTGTTGATAAGATGAAAGCATGTTAGTGTGTTTTATTACGCTTATGTACTTAGCATTGTTGATTGTGTGTTTGTATGTTTGTTTGGCCTTATCTTTACCTTGGCCCTACGACGACCCATTTCTAATGGCGAGTAGTGGGGACAAGTAGAGATAAGCTTTACAGGTGATGAAGCATATTTATGATGGGCTTGAGTGAAGAGCGAATCATGCTTAGTTCTCATAGGAATATGATGTGTTTTATTTGCTTTGAATATTATTTATTTTATTGAGCTTGTGAGATTAACACAAAGATTTTTAATATTATTTGGTTTTAAAGGCCTACAATAGTTCCAAGTTGTAGGTTGACTTCGTTTGACTTTGTTTGATTTTACTTTCGTTTGGTTTGACTTCTAAGTTGACTTGTTTTAAATGGTTTTAAAGATAGTCTTTAGCTGTGTGAGTCTTTGATATTTGCCTTACCCGTTTTTACGGTGGCGGTAATGTCTTAGATTTTCCTACTTCATATTTTAAAGATGGCAAAACAGGTATTTTAAAGGAAAGGAATTTCTAAGGTGTTACAAAGATGGAGCCACTCATGGTGGTGTAGAGGGTGAATATGAAGGTGGGGGTGGTGTAGAGGGTGAATATGAAGGTGGTGGTGGTGTAAAGGGTGAATATGAAGGTGATGGTGGTGTTGTTATGGGGTATGGGTATAGGGGTATATAGGTCATTAATAATGTCTTCTTGAGTACTTTTATGTCGTCAAATAGTAATTCTAAAATCTTATTGTGGTCTGGTTTTCCTTCTTCTGCAATAAACACACCAACTCCACTTGGAATCATGTGAAAATAAACAAGTTAGGGTGTTAGATGATGATCTTAACTATAAACATAACTTACCAATGAAGATTTATACTTTAGTCACCTATATTTGGCTTGGAAGTGCAATGATGATACAATAACCCAATTTTCAAGCTTAAGTTAGATCAAATTTGAAGTGTCTATGGAATGTAATATGAAGTAATCTAAAACCCAATTTTGAGACCAAATCATTTTAGAGCCTAATCCGCTTATTTATCTATTCTAATATGTTAAACGGCGTTCCTAAAAACGTCTATGTGTCACGTACACTCCTCATTACACCACGTCACATATATATTCAATTCCTCGATACGCCACGTCACATACTCAATTCTTCAATACGCCATGTCATCCACTCAATTCGTCCATATGCCACGTCACCCACGCAACCGACAATACTCCTTGTTGTTTCAACTAAATTAAAAAAAAATATGGACAAGGAGGTTCAAACACTCAACCTCTTAGAAGAAAGATCATTGTTTAACCATCTAGGTTAATTGTCACTTATGCCCTAATCTTACACACGAATAACTTAATACTATACTACAAAGATATTGAAAATACATACAAACTATATATTATATATAAAATGTCTTTTAAAAATTGGTAGTTGTACAAATATAAAAGTAGCAACCTAGGGCAACGTTTGGGCTATACACTAGTTAAACCTAAAATATGGTCAATCATGTTTAATATTGATTAAATATTGACCCAAATGCGTCAAAATGTAGTGCTGAGGTCAAATAGACCTTACATTGTTGAAAACGACTTAATCAAATAAATATCCATATAAGTCGTGCAAGACTTATACAAGTGGATAGCTCTTTCATATAACATTCAACGGTATATTATAAACCCAATTTCGACTTATGACAAAGAAGATATGATCAAAATATTAAATCGAACCCAAAGCTGACACCTTTGTATTAAACCGGCCATATAATAAAATACACAAAAGCTTTTGACCTAATTCGAATTATGTTGGAAAGTAGACATCTATAACTTTCTCATGATGTCTTATTTTTGTCACTTCGAGTTCGAAATCTAAAGTTATGGAAGTTTTACTAAACCGCATTTTCGAATAAAACAAATCGGATATGCACGACTCTAATAGTTGCGCGCAGTACCTGAGTGCAACTTTCTTTGCTGCGCATGCTTCCTGACACGGTGGCTCTAAAACTTTAACCATAGATTCCTACACTTATAATTAGGGATCTCAGTTAGATCTTAAAAGATCCGAAAAATTAGAAGATTAGCCATGAAAATATCCTTGAAAATGGAGAACCATTTTTCTAAAAATTTATTTTCCATTAAAACAAACGGAGTCTGAATCCCAGCTCCCAAGTTAAAAACCGGGTTTATCTTCTAAATGGTGGGCTCCTGTGTTCTAACTACTTTGTTGAACAAGTGTCATGTCTCATGAGTAGTTAGTCCAAATCACGAAAGCAACAAAACTAGAAATCATCAACCGCGTCAAATGCGAAGAAGCGCCACAAAGCAACAGTGAGACACTGAAAAGGAAAGAAAGCGAGAGAGAAAAAAGAGCGCGCTTCGGCATCTCCGCCTACCGCCGATTTCTCTCTCTACCTTCCTCTTTCTCTCTCCTCCATTTCCTCTCGCTAATTTCATCACCGCCGTAAGAATGTCGTCAATTTCGTCCTCTTCTGCTGTTTTGCGATACGCTTCGACGCCGGCGATTTCCGAGGAGAGACGATCAACGCTTAGGTCCGATTGGTTCGGCACTAATCTCCCTTTCAAATCTGTTCAGGTGCGAGTTTCTTCATTTAATCGTGTTGTTAGTTTAATTTAATAGTAATTAGACAGTTTTTAATGTTTTGCTTAATTTCACTTTTTCAATTTGGAGTATTTCATTTGAATTATATACATTTCATTGAGTAATGCTAGTTTTGGAGGAGTTTGTGACGAGCTCACGTGTTGATCGGTGTTATTAATGTTTATTGATATTCCTTTCGTTTATAAATTCTTGCTCCATTTCTCCATGCACGAAGTTGGAGAACCGAGAAAGTAATAAAATATGGAGGTAGTGGAGTATGTGGAAGAATAAGAAATTGTATAAAGCAAAAGTAGTTGAGAGAATTGGAGGAGAGAGAATATGAAATTAATAAAATATGATTTATGTTGGATACACTGGTCGAGAGAAATGAATTAAATATTGTAAAAGTTTTTCAAATAACGAAATGGAACAAGTATTTAAAAACGGCCAAAAATGAAAAGTGGAGCAAATATTAAAAAACGGAGGGAGTACTTTATTTTGGAAGTATTTTTGTACGGAGTATTTAATTTGTGGAATACGGTTTGTGGTATTGGTTGTCAGTCTATGTTTTAATGCTTATACTGTTGAATACTGTACTTCTGGTATATAATGAATTTTTTTCATTTTTTGCTGTATTAGTTTGGTTGTCATTGATAAAATAAATTAATATCGAAATTTAACTTGATATGTGAATGATGTGATCAGACTATAAAAGGGACTATTTGGCTCATTGGTTGTAGTTTAGAGATTAGACAAAAAAGATGAGATACGACACGGATTAAAAGTGATTGTTTGGCTCATTGGTTGTAGTATAAAGTTTAG